TTTTTTTTTTTTTTTTTCTGTAACATTTGACAATCTGGACATCTTTCTTGCTGAGAAGGTAATTTGCTTAAGTCCACAGAACTCCTACACTTTCGTGTTATCCTTGTGGTGGTGCAACTTTGATACTTTCAGCAGAATGTAACTTGAATAATTGAAGTAATAATAAATTGAGCAGTAGAGTGAATCCTGTTACATACAACTAGATGAGGTCTAAATCTTATCTTTTCCTACTATATCTTTTTCTTCTTTGTCGTTCCCTACACTAAAATTCTTGCTTATGTCTTAATGTCTTCAGTTTTGTGCGTGCTTTGCTGGAACCTCTGCCAACTCAGCCCACATTGCACCTCCAGTCTAGTTAAAGCTTGGCCTTAGAAGTTGCCTTTCATTTTGTATCATCACTCTTCCTCATTTTCTTCTAGGGCTTTTCCGTATCAGCTCTATTCTTCTAAACATATTGTATCACCTTCTGACAGCTTAATGAGAGCCAAAGCGTCACCTTGTTTACTCCTGCTCCTCCCAGTCTTTTCCTTCTAATTATGTCTTTAAGCTGAAAGTTACTCATCACAAACCCTTCTTACTGCCTCATGTGCTCACTTGCCCTGACCCTTCTCTATTGAGTGTTCTTTCACACTCTGTATCCATAGCTAATGTCACAATCTAAGTTCCTCAGGACACAGATTGTGGCTTTTTTTATATATATATTAGGTACATACATAGGTGTGCATTAAGTAGTCAGGAGACACAGGCAAAAATGAGAATTCTTGAAAAATTTATCAAAACATTTAAAGGAGAATACCGTCTTACTTGATTTGAACCTTTCAGGTCCTGTGGACACTATAAAAGGTATCAATTGCAAACAGAGGTGGGATGTGTGTAGTCATGCCTATGAGGCTGGGAAAATCATGAGTTCCTGTCAATCAGCACAGACCTTTAGTCATATGTCTGAATAATCTGTTTGAGCATTATCAAAATTCTCTACCAAAAAAAAAATTCATAGGCATTTCTGATTAAACAGAAGCACTTGCATGTTTGTTCATTTGTACATCTAATCTGCATTTAATTGTAGCTTAGGCTTAAAAACACCTGCAGCTGGCACCTTGGAAAATAGGTTGCCTGAATAATCCAGTCGTAGAGAATTCAAGGACATGTGAGGGCAACAATGTATTGGTATTAGGTAAAAGATAAATGATTGCAGCTTTTCAATTTGGGAGCTGCCTGAGGACATTCTGCCAAGTGCATGTGGTGATTTGTGATGTTGGACCAATACCAATTGTGATGTTGTACCAATACGAATAGCATCTAAAACCTTGCAAGCATGATGGCTGGAAGATCCCTAGGTAGCTGTCAATTGGTGTGTAAGGAAATTCAAATACTTTAAAATTAGACTTTTGCTTGCAAAGGACTGTTTGCACAGATTAGTCTGATTCCTTTGGGCTGGGGGGTGAATGATCTTTCCCCAAAGTGAATCCTTTTACACCCATTCAGCCCTTTTGTAACAGTTTCTGAGACACTTTTCCCCCCTCTCCCTTTTAGACTAAGATATTCACAGTTAATTACAGACAAATCAAGTGATGAGTTTTAAATTGCCATGGAGCTGACAGCAAGACAAGAGCAGTGCAGCCTAATTCATATTCCCACCCCCTTCCTGTTGCTTCAGCTGCCTCGCGTGGCATCGCAGTCACTTTATTTCAAGAAATTATGCAAGCTCCCAGATCCCTTTTGTTTCTCAAAAGTGAAGTGGTGCAGGAGGCAAGGAAGCTTCACGTGTGCTATTTGCACAGCTGTGACATGCTTATAACGTGGCTGCTCTTTGCCCTGCTCTGTTTTGGTAACTGCATCCCTCCAGACTCCCTTCTAGCCATTTTGCTCTCTCTGGTTATGCCTGTGTCTTTTCTCATAATTCTGTTTTTCATCTGGGAGGAGGAGTTTTGCATCTGTCACCAGACTGCATAATCTGGCATTTCACAATGTGTTTGTGTACCCCTGCTCAGTAGCTCGATGTTGCTGCCTTGCAATGCAGGCTTTACACTGCTGAAAAAGTGGAGATTTCAGCAGTATTTGCATACTGTGTCCATAATCCTGAAAGTCCGATTTTGCTGAAAGCTTGAGCATCCACTAAAAAAGCTAAAAGTGATAGAAATCAATAAAATGATCAATATGCCCCCAAATCAGAGTCTAAATGCCCATATTTAAGGCTGCTGATTAAACTATCTTTACAAAAAGTTGGAGTGAGAGCAAGGTAAGGGCTTTTACTGACAGGAACAAGGACAAATTAAAAAAAGCCCTAAAATTTGCTATGATATAGAACAATTTATGGTAACTTTTCTTGCTTACATAAGAAATTGTTCTATATGCCATAGATTTCTGTATTTGCGTGTAAACAAATGTATGGGTTAGATTTATGATGTATACTAAGTGAAGTCCAGAGATAAATATTTCACCCACAGAAGATGAGTGTTTAGAAAAATCCTGCAATGTGCAGGACTTGCTGATTAGACTTCATGTTTGCTTGATTTTTGTTTTGCTTTGTTTCTTTGTTGGGTCATTTCACTCTCTTAGAGAGACGCCCTTAGAGAGAAGCTTTGCTCACTAAGTGTGGGTCTGTGCCATATGGACCCCTATCATGCTACAAAGGTACTTGCAGGTTGCCTTTGAAATAGATTTATCCTTGTATTAGAACAGAGGGGCACGAAGAGTAACTCAAATCTTGAAGATTTTGAGTCTGTGCAGGCCTAGTGATTGAAGCATCAAGCAATTAAATGTCATCTGTCATCTAATTTATTTGTGGATGGAAGGGCATTCTGCATATGAAGAGCTATCGTAAACTAGTTATACTGCATACATCTGAGCATGAAGGGAAAAAAGTGGCTTTCAGATTACAGAAGGAAATAGCTGCTGGGACACAGACAAAGTGCATGCTTCATTCCTTTCTCTTCTGTGTAGCTATCCCACTCGTATCTGAGCTGGCAGTGGAAATTTTGGAAAAAGGAGAAGTGCGATTCTGGTTGCAAGCTGAAAAACTCTCTGGCAACGCAAAGGCCAACTTTGTATTTAACGATAAGGAGATTTTTAATGGAGAGGTGAGCCTTTTCATTCCCTACAGTTGTCTGCCTTTTCTGAGCAATGAGTATTAATGTTGCTGTCTTCAATGCACTTTCAACTAGTGTTCCATCCTAACGCATTTTCATAAGAAGTATCATATGTCGCTGAAAGCATCAATGGAAAGATTTTGTCTGTAGCTTTGAGCTACAGACAAATTCTACTGGTTGCAGTTTACAAAGTGGAATTAAAAGGCTTCCTGTCATCTTTGCGAGTACCCCATTTTCTGTAAAGAAGAGGGGAACATAGGAGTTCTTGTAATAAGGTAGTCCCGGGTAAGTAACTGCTGTCTCCTTCATCTACAGCCCTGGTGTACTTTTGTGTTTGAGTCTCACATCTCTGTGCTGTCAGAGAAATTCACTTTATAAAGAGAAATCTTGCAGAAAATTTTCTAGCTGCAGAACTTGCTATTCCCAGAGCTGCACCAAGACATGCTATTGTTTCTCTATCCACATCTTTTTACTGATCATGCTATGTAATTCTGCTCTGAAGTTTATAAAAATATCATCTTCTCAAAGATAGTATTATTTTAAAGATAAGCAAATCTAAACCTTTCCAGTGAAAAAGAACACGATACGCAGCAGGTGACAGGAAATGACACATACTTACAGCATTAGTAAACAGGCTTCCATCATGAACAGATTTTGTATTTCTTTGGTCACATACTCAGACCTGGTGATAAGGCAAGAATCTTAATACAGAAAACAAAGAATTTCACCTAAAGATGGCATATCATGTTTGCTAAATATTTTTTAGTTCTGATATTTATCAATTGATGGTTTACTTTCCATTCCTGAAGAAATACAAAATGAAGGTAGACCAGAAGACAGGCCTTGTTGAAATGGTTATGGATAAACTTGAGGACAAGGATGAAGGGACTTACACTTTCCAGCTTCAAGATGGAAAAGCAACCAACCAGTCCAGCCTTGTGCTCATTGGTGATGGTAAGCTAATCTAAGCTTTTGGCTTGATTGTAGTAGGCTGGGGAAAAAAAAAAAAAAACTAAGGATGCCTCAGTAGTCCTTTTCACTTTCCAGTGTTTTCTTTATTCTATACTAATGAAAAATCCAGTGGTTGGTCATGTTATGTTGCTTGCCTGCCTCATATAGGACAGAGTGTGTGGGGGAATTGCTATTTGTAAAGTGTCTGAAGAAAGGGAAATTGTTTTAGAAATATAGAATATTGCAGCCTTGTCATGATTTGCTTTTCTACAGCTTCAATTAAAACTCTCCAGAATAATGAGCTGGTGTAAATGCCTGCTCACGTCAGCTAATGATATATACCTGCACCTCTCAGAACTTCAGCTGCTTGCTGATGTTGCGGTCTTGCTTGTTTTTCCTTCCTGCTGAGAGTGAGAAGTGGTTGTGTGATTGCAGATAACACTCGAGGTGACACACGTCAAACTCCTGGTGACTGTAAGCATCTAGGGTAGTTGAGCTGGCTGCTATCAAGTTCTGATACTCTGAAATGTTCGAAATTGACTTTCTGAGTGAAAACTTGACCCTACAGCAGAATTCTCGCTGACCTCCAAGAGGGAAGGGCTTCACCTAACTGTTACAGCAACAGTCAGTGATGTACAAATGACACATTTCACAGAGCCTTATTTTCTTTCCTGTTTTTAATCCCCAGTGTTTAAGAAGCTGCAGGATGAAGCAAATTTCCAGAGAAAGGAGTGGCACAGGAAACAAGGTGATGATAGGAATTTTTATAAGAATCACATATATATTATTTTAAGTATACTAGTATGCCTTTTTATAGTAATTAGAAATAGATGTTCTTATTCTGTTTATGTAGTTGCTTACCTTCTCAAAGAGAAATAGGAAAAAGATGAACACATTAAAATATAGAAGTGCTCTTGGCAAAAATAAAGCACATTAGCCTTTGCTTTTGTGTTGTGAATACTAGTGATTTTAAAGAAATCTATCTGTAATTTTAAACAGGTCCTCATTTTGTGGAATACTTGGGATGGGAAGTTACTGATGATTGCAATGTGCTGTTGAAATGTAAGGTAAGAGGCATGGGAGATATTAGAGGTACAATGTTCAAAGAAATACTTTGAACTGCCACTGCTTAGATGAGGAGGAAGAGAACTAAAGACATACCCTTTGCCTTTGTATTCACAATTACATATTGAATAGTGACAGAGTCTCTGAAAACACAATGACCAGTGGTTGTAGTGTGAGTGCAAATCATTTGAGACTTAGGGCTGCATATCTTTAAAGCAAAAACTAGAGCTCAAAAATAGACAAAGAGGAGGACAGCGGTGAAATCAAACTGATTCAAACTCCAACATGTCTGATAACAATTGCCTTGTTAAATCAGTAATCTCTGTTTTCTTTGCAGAAATAAGAGTGTCTCAACAAACAGCAATACACTGATTATTCTGTATAGGACAGAGAGCATAAGAGAAACGAAAAGTTCTTCAGGGCAGATGCTTTTCTGTTATTTGGTCAGTGCTAGTGGTATTAGTTTAAGGTTGGGTTCTGTAAGACATCCATCCCTCTTTCTATCCATCCATCCATCCATCCATCCATCCATCCATCCATGTAGGAACCTGGATAGAAATAGATTCTTTGTGAATTCTGGGATATTGTGCTTTTCTTCTTATTCATGTGTGTAAAAATCCTTTGGCCAGGATCCAGCGGTAATCTGGAATCCTTGGGGCAGTTCATAGTTCTTTGCTCTCTCTTTTTATTCCTTCAGTTTTTCTTCTCCCTCATTTTACTAGTAAGGCCTGCAACAATGTCCTTCAACTCACAGCACTCAAGCTGTAAAGTTTGCTGTTCTTTAGGATTTAAACAGTCTGTGTAGTGCCAAGCTCATCTGGTCAAATGAACAGAATAACAACAGTGTGGTCTTCACCCATTTTAGGTGGCTAATATTAAGAAGGAAACACACATTGTATGGTACAAAGATGACAGGGAGATAATGGTTGATGAAGAACATGATTTTAAAGATGGTGTATGTACCCTGCTGATATCAGAGGTGAGTGACTGTCTATGCTAGCCCTAAATATTAATGTTAATGCTATGAATTCAGATGAAAGATATGATCTAATCTGATATTTCAGCAGAACAATCAAAATAGGAAGTGGGCTTTAAGAATGGAAAAGCTCACAAAGTGCCTGTATTTTAGCTGAAGCAACTTTCTATCTTTAACTCTGCTAATTCAGGTTATCAGGAAATGATGACAAAAGAGATAATAAGCTTGTAGCTTCCTTTCCAGATCAGCCTAACAACAAAATGTGACCATATTTGTGTTGCGTGAGTTGCATTAGGAAAATGTTTGTCACTCACAGACTTTACAAGGACCAGGCTCTGCCGCCAGCCCAGAGACTAGTCCAAGAGACTGGTTCGTCACCCAGCCTGGCTGCAGACGCTGGGCATGACCTGCATGCACCTCTTAATGCCCCGCGTCTCAATTCCTCCATCTGCAAGAAGGAGGAAGGTCCAGGGCATCACAGAGCTGAGGCTGGATGCCCATCCCTGGGCACTGGGCACCCCTGCAGCACAGGCCAAGGCTGGGTGGGAGTCTATGACTCAGGGCAGTAGCTCAGCCCAGACTCAGACGAAAGCCGCTCCCCACAGAACTCAGTTCAGGGCCTTTCCAGAAAGCTGGTACCTTGTGAGAAAAAGGATATATTTCAGAGGCTAATTATAACCTTTTAAATCCCCCTGAGAAAATCACAGAATGGCTGAGATTAGAAGGGACCTCTAGAGCTCATCTAGTCCAACTGTCCTACTCCAGCAGGGACATGCAGAGCACGGGGCACAGGGCAGCATCCAGGCGGGTTTGGAAGATCTCCAGAGAAGGAGACTCCACAGCCTTCCTGGGCAGCCTGTGCCAGGGCTCTGTCACCCTCACAGGGAAGAAGTTCTTCCTCACATTGAGCAGGAAGGTTGGACTAGATGATCTCTAGAGGTCCCTTCCAACCTTGAATATTCTGTGATTCTGTGAACTGCCTGTGTTTCAGCTTGTACCCAATACCCCTTGTCCTATCACTGGCCTCCACCAAGAACAGTTTGGCCCCTTCCTCCCTACATTCTCCCCTCAGGTATTTATACATATTCATCAGATCTCCTCTCAGAGAAAACGCAGAAGTATCTACAATGAAAGCCAGATTTCTACTGTAACTATTCTCATTACTAATTTTACTGCTTCTATATTTTAGTTTTCTAAGAAAGATGCTGGAACCTATGAGGTCTTATTGAAGGATGACAGAGGGAAGGACTCCAGTGAACTGAAGCTCATGAATGCAGGTGATTCTGCGTGTTGTAAGCCAGAGCAGTTTACAGGGCGAATGCTTGCCTGCAAATGAGTTCTCTTGGTAATACAGTCAAATGCATGTGTCACTTACACGTGGTTTTGTTCCTCCTGTGTATAAGATTTTCTTATTAGAAAACTGATTTTTTTCTGGTAAAATAACATTTGAATATAGGTTATTACATTTGAATTATGCGATATTTGAGGAGAATATTATGACTAAAGCTAAGCAAAGTAACATGTCTACAAGTATAAAAGGAAATTATAGAACCAGATAATTTTAAAAGCTTTCACATTTTTATTTTGTTTTAGCCATTCTTTAGTTTAGGAGCATTCTCACTCATTGGACTTACTCTATGTTTAGAATTTCAATCCTACTTACTCTGCCAAGCCAGTGGGGAAAAAATCGTATCCATTATAATATACAAGGATGGGTTAACATTCCAAGTGAATATTGTAATTTACAGGGGAAAAAGAAATAAGTGAGAATGTAGCTCAGTTCAGCTACAGCAGTAGTCTTCAAGACTGTGATTAAATAAAGTCAGGAAATCATGGAATAACAGGCTGTATTTCTGCACTGCTGAGAAATCCAGCATGTTTCTCAAGGTAGCTCTGATTTCTCTTTGGAACCTGCTAGGGAGAATATTTCAGGGCTGGTACTTGTGCTTTTCCTGACTGTTTGAGCTGCAGGCACAGACTCTTAGACTGTGGGTTTTATTTCCACAGCTTTTGCGGATCTGATGAATGAAGTATGCAGAAGGATCGGTAAGCGTTTAACTCTCTTTTCAGATGAATGACTCATTGTGGCACTCCGTGAATGGCTGCCTAAAAACATCTGCTCTTCTTTCAGCTTTATCTGCAACTGACCTGAAAATCCAGAGCACAGCTGAGGGCATCAGGCTGTACTCCTTTGTTAATTACTATGTGGAAGACCTGAGAGTAGGCTGGGTGCACAAGTAAGTATGTAAGGGCTTTGCAAAAGTCACGGTGTTTCTTGATCTTATAAATTGAACAAAACTTGGATATGTGAAAGCTGTTGGGCCCAGTTTTCCCTTCATTTCCTCTCCTGTAAGTGCCGTTAACTTGAGTCAATCACTGCAGTATGAGACTGAAAGAAGACACATAGGTCTTGGTGGAACAGGGCCACTATGCCACCTCTATCGTGAAGCTGTGTTGCTTCAGAGCGCTTCCCCATCCCAGATAGGAACTGCATCTTTCCCTCATCCCTTTGGAGGAGCAACCAACCTGTGGAACTGACAGGCTTTGAATAAAGGCCAGGATTCTTGGTTTGGAGATATCCAGCCTGGAGGGCTGCTTGTCGAGAAGCTGTAATTCACAGAAATGGGCACAAATGGGCACACCTCTAATGCACAGGTTCATGCTTAAGAGACAAAACAAGTTTCAGCATAGGCCTGGGGCATTAAAATCCAGACAGTCCCTCCTGTGCGAGCTCACAACCCAACCATGATAGACAGAAGAGTTGAGAATTTTTTACAAGAATTTGAATTCCTAGCTGCCCTTAAAATTAGTGGGAGTTGAATATCCAAATCCATTAGACAGCTTTGAATTCCCAGCCAGGGTAAGTACCTCGCACCGGAAAACCTGAAGATGTAAATGATTTAGATCCCTTCAAATCCATTATTAATACTATTGCTATTTCACTTCACTTCCTGTGGACACAGTAATAGTTAGCTGTTAGGATGGAATCTGAATTACTGATATTTCAACAAAACTCTATGCAAACGAAGCAGAGAATATCCAGGATATGTTGCTGCATCCTGGCCATAATTATAGGAGCTGATGCTAACCAGCAAAGCTGTCCAAGAAATGAAAACAGTGCAACATTTTCCTGCTGCTTGGCATCCATTTTGACCTGGTATTGCCAGGAGTCCTAAGCACATTAAAACTGGAAGTGATTGTGAAGTCGTCTGGATTGCTTCTCTCTCTTCCTTTTCTGTCTCTTCTCTTTTTTTTTTCAGTTTCATTTTTAGAAACTATTTTTATCTTGGAACACAATGAGTATGGCAGGGCACCGAAAGATACTATATTAGTAGCAAAAGTAGTTTTACTTTAGATACACCGTATACACATAGTCTTGTTCTCCCTGAGCAGAAATACACCTATGCTAAGAAGAGAAAGTGAACATTTGAATATGCATAGATTATCCTCCAGACATCTGAGTCTTAAATAAATTTAACTCTTTCATGACTCAGAGAATGGACCAAGATGCATTATCTTTTCGCAAACTTTAAGGAGAGCTGGAACTTGAAGGGAAAATTATGTCCTATTTATTCTGCCATTTTGATCTTTAGGAAGAATTTGGCTTCAAAATTTTCAAAATATGGTGTCATACCATGGCAGCTTGGAAATCACTTACTAAGAACAGATGTACTCACTGAATCAACATAAGCAAATCCTATCTGTACTCCTGTAAAATGAAAGGATAACATTGTTTTATATTTTACAGTGATACCCAGATTAGATTTACAGACAGGGTTAAGACTGGTGTCACTGGGGAGCAGATCTGGTTGCAGATCAATGAGCCAACTCCACAAGACAAAGGCAAATATACGATGGAGCTCTTTGATGGTAAAACAGGACACAAAAAGACAGTGGATCTTTCTGGACAAGGTAGGCCACTCAATCTACTAATATCATTTGTATGTGAACATGGCATCGTGGCAGGAACATGTGTAGCAGGATGTTGCTACAGACCTGTTACCTGCTGAGCTGTAGGATCTCTGTGTGTACCCTGCAGTGCAGCAACCTGGCAGTGTGTGTGAAGGAAAAGCACAGATCATATGCCCCAACGTCTGCTCTCAGGTCGTGCTTTACCAACCAAGTATTAGCTTGCAGTGCTGGCCAGTGAGATGCCAGCTCAGTTTCTGGGGTATCTTAAAAAAACCCTTGTCTTTCTGACATTGGCTGGCAATTTTAAATACAAGTGCTACAAGAGGTCACTGAATGGCCTCTGTATCTCACCTGTCCAAGTAGCATTTGGAGGAGGAAGTAAGGAGCAAGTTTGTTCTATTGCTTTCCCCCCACTGTACTTCTTTGATAGATATAATAAGGCTTCTTATTTTTTAGAGATGTCAAGACTGGTCCCTTTCATCAAGACAATGAAGCAAAGCTAGGGGAACAGCTAAAATTATTTGGAGTGATTTTTTGGAAGCTTTTCCTCTGGGAGAGCTCTCGGATCCTAGGGAATAGATGAGCTGCTTCTGAACTGCTGACTTTCTGTCCACAGCAGTTGCCATCCCAAAAGTTTCACACTGGGTCTGCAAGCTCTGTGTAAGAGGATTTAGTGAGTTTGCTTATGGCTGGCCATCAGTGTGAGCCTTCAGAGCAGATGTGAAAAATACTTGAATAAAACAGATCTTTTGTATCATGCCATATCAATACATTAATGTTTCTTTAATGTGTCTACATTTTAAATTTAAAATTGTGGTGACTCTTCTATGAACCTACCTTTAAAATCAACTTTTCTCTTTACACAGCATTTGATGAAGCCTTTGCTGAATTCCAGAGATTAAAGTAAGTATTGTGCCATCTAAACACAGCAATGGCATCCATAATATAAAAACTACATGTTTGTTTTCTGTTAGAACTAAAACTATGCTGTGAAACAAATACTAGTCCTAGTACTTGTCCTTGAATTCTTTGATATAATGCTTATATAGCACCTTGGTATTAAAGGAAAAACAATATTGTCAATTGATGAGATTTTCTTGAATTGATTAAAAACAGCTAAAAAGAAAATATGTTTTTTCAGTTGCTCTAAGTAGACCTCTAATGAAACCTCTTTTTGTTTCTCTCAACTCCAGGCAAGCTGCAATTGCAGAGAAAAGTAAGTGAACCTTCTTTGACAATAGTTATAATAAATGGTTCATAAAGGTTTTCTTCATATCACAAAAACTGTATTTTGGGAGAGAGAGAGCAGGTATACATGTGTGCATGCACGTGCACATCCTCAGACTAGTTTGTTTTTACACCAAGGAGAAGCAAGGACAGTAACCTTTCAATGACACTAATTATGGGCTACGTTGATTTTTTGTAGCGTGAGTTCCTGCTCCCATTACCAGTTAGTGTCCCTAAAAGTTATTATTATTGATGAGATGTCTCATGCATGATCTCTGCCCAAAAGGTGGCACAAAAACCACTTTGTTTTGAAAGCTGGAGGAAGTTGCTCAGCTAGTTTTGAGCCATATAAAGTGTTAAGTGGCTCTGCACCATATACAGAAGTGCTGTGGCTTTGAAACCTGCACTAGCTTTTGTATGGCTGAAAACAGATATTTGGATCTCTCGGTCCTTCTGTATTTAGAATATCTATCCAAATAGCCATTAATTAATAATTTTATCATTAGAAACCACATTGAATTATTAAGCTCTATCTTCCTATTTGTACAAAAAATGCATGGAAAAAGTAACACCTCAAAAATTCCCTCACTGCAGATTTCTTTCAGACCTATATAGAAATGGGGACTGAATGAGTACAGATCTGAATGAATTCCTTGCTGAACACGTGCTCCAAATAGACGAGTGTTGGGAATGTGCAAGAATCCCTACTAGTCCTAGCTGAGACAATATGAAGGGATTGGTAGCCCTACCCTAAGCCGCTCATTTCTCACTCTGGACTGTTCATATTGGGCTAACATGTCACTTGATGTAATACAGCTTTGTTTCTGGTTTCATCGGGTTAGTTACTCCAGACCACATATTTTACAGAAAGAGGAATTAGCAGAAGTGATAAAGGCAGCACCGTCTATACTCATTTCCTTCCTCTGTCAAGCTTCAAGACTTAAAACTAATAAAATCCCTACCCCAGAATGTGTGCATCAAAGGTTGCATGTACTCAGCTTAGTTTTATTTCTGTAAGATTGCTACACGACTTTGAAATTTTCGATCTCATTTACACCCAAATATATCCAAACAAAGTGGTGGAATTTCACGGCTGTCACCAAGACTGGAATCTGTCCTTGCATTTAGATCAAAGCCTAATTTCCACTGTTGCTCATTTCTTTACATAAGCACAGAATTTTTAGGTTATGACATGGAAAATTTGGAGCATCCTATCCCCAGAATTCAGATATTTTTGCACATTCAAAAATAATACTGAGTTCACTGGTGGCAAAATCTGCAAGACACAGCCATGTACTTTAAGTTCCTTCAATAAGTGACTGTCAGCTATTAACACATTTTTTTTTTCCTGCAAATTTATTGTAAGTCCAAATGGTGTGCAAAGAATGCTGTTGAATAATTCTGTCCATGCACATATACTAGAGACAAGTTGTACATAAATAGGATAAAAGGAGAAAACTAGGGGCGGAAACAAAATCTGGGACAGAGTTGATTTTGAAACATTAAAGAAAATTATGCTGATGTATTTTCAGATCGTGCACGGGTACTTGGAGGGTTGCCCGATGTCGTCACCATCCAAGAAGGCAAGGTACAGTGAATTAACTGAAGCTTTATACAACAACCAAACAGCTCGAATGCTTGAATTTTCACCTTCTTTTAAAGGTTCCATCTTTGAAATCTGCTGCATTATTTATTCATTCCCTGTCTTCTGTATATAATGCAACAATCTTGGACAGATGGTTTTGTGTTTTGGGGGCAGTTTCTTTTCTTATTCATTAGATAAAAGTGAGATGACAATGTGACTTGAGACAAAAACTCCTTATGTAACCACGTCTTTAAAAATTCATGCACAGGTTTTACAGATAGAGTTTTGAAGAGAAGTATCAGGGAAGGTTTCATTCTTCTTCTTACAGGACAGCTAGTCATTCTGCAGCTTATGCAGTTAACTTTCTCAAGAACTGGCAAGATAGTCAGACCTGGAAAGGCTGAATTTTAAATGGTGTCAAACATGCAACCCATTCTATTTCAATTCTCTTTTAGGCAAAAGGAGAAACTCTTCTCTGCTTCATCAGGGTAAACAGGAAGGAAGTCAAAAGAAATCACTGATATGGCACGAAATTACATTAGGTAGCAGATTTTATCTGAAAGATTTTCATAAGGTGTTATCAGATGAATGTGGCTACACTGGGGCTTGGGCACAGAACAGATGACCCAAGAAGCCCTTCCTAAATGTCTGGTGACCATTTCCGAGCACTCTGCTTCCATAAGCACTGAGAGCAGCGGCAGTATCTGCTGCTCACTTCTCTGTGGTCAGCTGCCTGCCACTTCCTGCTTAAAATGTGCATGAGTGTCAAAACAAGGTGTGTGCATGGCGCTGAAAAACTGTAACGTGATCACAGCAGTAAGGCAGCTTCCTCATATGTCTGTCTTTAGCTGGTTCTAGGCCAGCTGGATCAAAACCATTTGATTATAAGCTGAAGGGAAGTATTAAGAACTTAAAATCTTAGCCTGAGTCGGCTGGCGACACAAGATATGGCTTTGCTGACTGCAGCAGTTTGGGGAAAATTAAGTATCTTAGCATTATAAAAAGAAGCAACATTTGATAAGACCTTTCATTAGGACATTAATCAATTTATGGGAATCCTGTAAAAAGAGGAAGTTCTCATACACATATTGTAACTGCAGAACTGTGAAAGAAGAAGCAAAGAAACTGAATGAATTTGCAGATTTTCTGTTAAAACTGCAGAAATATGAGCTTGAATATGAGATAGTCATACTGCTCTGTCAGGGGATAAAATTTGGGTGGTTATTATCAGTTTTAAGCTTTCTGCCAAAGGAGTGTTGAAATGAAGTCGTATGGAAGAGTATGAGCTCATTAAATCAAAATGTGAAGAGTTTATGGAAAGAAAGATTGTAAAAAATGAGTTGCAAAATTTTACCCAGACACACATTGTCCATGATAGCAAGAACACTTGTGATGTTTGAATGAGCTACTGAAAAACTCCCAGAACCCAACACGGATATCCTTGACCTTACATTTCTGGATTCAGTAGCTGCTGTTTTTGAGAACAGGGATAGGACATAGAGTGACCAGGAAAAACAGTGCTCGTCTGGGTGCTGTTGGCTCATCTGTTTGCATATATGCTGGACAGAGGTGAACGCAGTTCTATCTGTTGTGTAATTCATCCAAATTGCACAATCGTCAAGGTTTCTGGAAAAGCCAAAAAGAGTAAATGAGGTAGTAGAGGACTTACGGTTGCAAACTGATTCTGAATCCAATGTGGCCTATAGAGCTTAGGAACAGGAATATCCCTGGAATATCCTTTGAATTTCCAGCATATGTATGCCTCAGACTTAAACTTAGCACTCTGACTGTGTTGCTATTACCTTGCTTTTTGCATGCAAGCTGAAGGGTATGTGTGTGAACACATGAACCAGTGTTATTCCAGGTGAAATGTAAGTCCATATTAGGGAGGAATTTGAACTGACAGCAGGTAGTTGTAGAAGGTTTGTGCACAGCTGGCCAAATTAACCCCAGTGACTGTTCTAACCATGTTAAGGCCTGTAACTACTTCAGGGGGGTTATTTTTAAAGGAGACTTGGGATTCTGGCAGACAAGCAGTTGCAGACCCAGGGGCAATGTTGCATCCTTCTGTGCATCCCTCCTTCCACCCTTCTGTCCTCACAGGTAGCCTGGGAGAAGTGAGCTTTAGCTGCTTTATTAAGCTGGCATCTTAGCCCAGATTGCCCACAAATGTGGGCTTGTGCTAATGTGTGGGAGGAACAGAAAGACCTTAAATACAATGACATGGTTCTCTCTGATAGCCATGCTACCTCTTGTGATAATCTGCAGTGCTGGGCAGAAAAGGTAGTGGGGGACAGAAAGGTCTGGACTTGCAGGACTTTGTAGGTCCAAATGCACCTACATCAGCGCCACAGGTTTGAAATGCCAGGATTTGGTTCAAAGAGGTGGGGACCACCCAGGTTTTTTGAGGTAGTCAGATACTTACCATGAACACTCACTTACCAGGACACCTAGACAGATTTCCAGTCCTTTATTTATTTATTTATTTATCCCCACTGAGGTAATGATTACAGGATGAACACAGCATTATAATTGGTAGTTTTGGGTGAGTAATAAAGATACAGAAACATCAGTGAATCTCCTGTCCACAGGACAAACAAATCTAGCCCCCAAAACAGCAGTTGAAATGGCAATCATTTCTCCTTGGCTAAGGCTCCACGATTTTGGAATCACCTTCCAGAAAATGCTAATATGAATAAAGATCTCACCATCTGCATAGTGAATGATAAGATAAATCTCTGCACACGAGTAACCAGAGTATAAGTAATAAGAGCTGGGAACATCAAAAAGGAGCACTGATGTCAAGCAGCAGCTAGCAATGCAGGGTTAATCAATACACAGCTATTTCAAGGGAGGTTTTTGGAGAAAAAAAAAAAAGGGGTTATCACTGCATCTATATCTCTTTGAATTAAGAAAGACTGACACCAATTCAAACCACTTTCAATGATGCCACCAAGTTGCACAAACTAAGTTGCCCATTGGACATCAGCTCGTTTAGGTCTTTGTGTGGCAAATGGGACAACAAGCAACGTTGCTTGTTCGAGAATCAGGACAAAATGAGGAAATACTGAGCACTGGAAGGGACCCAGACATAATGTCTGGTTGAGGCTGAAGATAGGTCTATGTGGGGAGCGTTAAGGAAGAGGGGGAAGTACAAAACCCCTTGTGTTCCTCATGCTGTTCAAAAAGATGGACTGATAGGACAAGCAAGACCACATTCCCACCGGTGGGCTGAGACAAGGGCTTTCAAAGCCCCACACAGTCACCAACTGTAGCTGCTGCAGGAAATCAGATAGAGGCCATTTCCAACAGGCATCAACCCCCTCACACCCAGACCGTGTCTTTGGTGCCAAGATATATGTACTGTTGATGGAGCAAAGACTTCCTCCCTTTTGTCCTCATTTTAATGCTTATGAGATGTGGAGTTGATTGATTTTCATTTCTTGAGAGAGAAAAAGGTTTTGTATTTATTTTATTTTATTTTCTGTTTATGCATTTCTGTAGCTTTGTGGATGTACCTCTTCTGTCCCATGTCACATAATTAATATAAAGCAGCAGAAGGAATGTAGCCTGTAAAACAGATTTCTTACAGTTCATTTTTATCATGAGTGCATAAAGGACTAAGAATGTGTGGCCTTTCCAGCTATTTTGGGCATATATTTATGAAGATCCTTTAAGAAAATAGAAAAGAAACTTAATTCTAGATCATTCAGTTCCCTGTAGGAAAAAGTTAAGATTCTACTTTGAATCTCACTTGAAGTTCAGACCAGTGTACTTTTTAGTATTAATATTGATTCCTTCCTAAAGAAAGGTCCATAGCAAGGTCTGTGTAGCACTGAAGTGAACTTTCCACTGCTGACTCTCTGCGTGATGTTCACTTCTGTGAGCACTTTTAGGAAGTTTCCCATGGTGCTGTGATGAGAGGAGGGGAGAGCAGTTGCAGATGGGGAGCGAGTGCAAACAGGCCTCCAGGACCCTTAAGCCTCTTGGGAGAGATAGCAGTTAAACAGGATTACAATATTATGATACCCTAATCTTCAGACCCCCAGGTCTTGATTTAGTAGGTCTGAGGTAATTAGTCATTCACAAGGGATTTTCTTCATTCTTAAAAGAACAGCATTTGCTGCAATGTAACAGCCTTAATGTTGTGGCTGTGTCCTCATTTTATTTGGGATGTGCTACTTTCACTACTGTTTTAAGAAACAAGTTGATTTTTGAAGTTGGACTCTACAGCATTCTATGGGTTTAAATGCAGAAGTATCTCCCAAACATTAATTTCTCGACTGACAATGACAAAGAAAAAATAACAGAGCATCATAGGCACGACAGACTTGCTTGCTAGCCCGCAGAAGTGCTTCCTCCACTAGCAGAATTTGACAGCCAGTTAAGAATAGGCTCTGCGCTGAGGGATCCTGCTAATCACAGAAGGAAATACTTGTACGAGCACCAAATAAGCCATAAAGCCTGTATCGACTTTAGCTAAAAACAGTTTTATAGGACTGTGTAAAACCTCTCAAGTATGTTAGGAGAGCTGTTGGGGCATAGTTTAGAATGATCTTAAATTAAACAAATCATTCCAGAGATTTGTTCTTATTAAAACAGTTATTGTTAAAATAAATAAATAAATAAATAAATAAATAAATGTGCTTCTGTGGTGAATGTATTGTGAGCTTAACTTGTAAAAAATCCATCGATGGATTTTCAGATTCTTATTTCCAGGTCTAACACAAGCGCAAACGGTATCTAATTTTGTATTCAACAGTATGTAGGAAGGCCTGCTAATGATCCTGAGGGCAGAGAATGGAGTCCATCAAATATTTAAAGGTTTTAATGGAGCTTTTGAATTCATAAGAGTTCCTCCTTTCCTCTACGAGAGATAAGACTATGACAAAAACTACTGATCACAGATGACGATGTGTGTCCATTTCCTAATAGGAGGAAGATGAATGAGGATGTGTGTGGAACATCTGGAGAATTATGCATCAAAACGTACAGTAAATATTAGCACTTACCTATAATGCTTTTGCACTCTTTCTACAGGCACTTAATCTTTCCTGCACTGTCTGGGGAGATCCTACCCCGGAGGTCTCATGGCTGAAGAATGAGAAATCATTCGTATCGGACGCTAACTGCGTCCTGAAATTTGAATCTGGAAAAAATGTCAGCTTCAGCATTGCGGCAGTGTCCACACACGACTCGGGGAAATACAGCATCGTGGTGAAGAACAAGTACGGCACCGAGACGAGCGACGTCACTGTAAGTGTGTACATACCTGAGGAAGAGGCAGAGCCCGAGCCAGAGAAAAACAAAGAAGACAAGAAAAAGAAAGCGTGAATTTAGCAGTAGGAAACGGAGGTGTCTGGATGAGGCGCTGACGTAATCTGTGTGTGTAAATTGCCTTCTTCTTTAGCAGGTAGCCTTGGATTTTTCCACTCACTTCAGTTGTGTTTCTAGTACGCTTTATTTGTGCCTGGGAAAACAGTGCCTCTCCTAAATATTTACTAGCTGCTAACTTCACAGGCTCCAGCTGTGCCATCCTCAGCCAGGCCAAACGCGTGCTGGCCCTCAGCGCGAGGCCGCAAGTCGACCTTTTTGCTGGCGTATTTGACCATGCAACACAAATGAAAAGGGCAAAAAAGCATTTCAGCAGAGGCCACTTAATGAAGCAGCTGGAAAGGTAGAGAATGATCGAGGCATTTTTGAGCAGCCGTTTAGATTTATTCCAGCTTTGGTAGAATAGATGGCATGTGTTAGAAAATTACATAATAGAGATATTGGTACTGTTTTTTTTTTTTTTTTGTATACATTAAGGCCTCTTTGCATTGCTGTGTTAACTTAGGGAGGCCTTAATATGGGTGTAATTTACATCCATAAATATTGTTTATTCTGCCCAATTGGGGTAAAAGTACTGTAATATAAGCAAAAATCAGAGTCAGAAGGCCAGAATACTAACATGTGTGTCAGCACAAATGTATGAACTGTGCTCTGTGTTCACAAATAAACTGATTTCACTTCTTTCCTTCTATCACAAGCTTGTTTCACTGTGTCTTATTTCACTAGTCACGGCTCGGGTAGTTGTTCACAGTTGTTTATAGTATCTTAACCCTTTCGCTCCTGTAATTACCTCTCACTTTCCTTTAGATCCATGCTAGTCATCACTGTGCATTTCACTACAAAGCCCCCAGTGACACCACTGCACACATTTCTGTCCAAACCCTCACTACTTTACATCTTAGCTCAAAAGGGTCTTTTTGTTGTTTTTGTTTGTTTGGTTTTTTTTTTTTTTTGCAAATTCAGGCACAGGATTTGTCTCGTGGGATTCAGTGGGCCTGCCCACGAAATTTAAGGATATTACAAACATACTTTGTTAGACTGAGACTTCAGTTAATTACCTTCATCCAAAGCTAGTACCGAATATCAGAAATTTCGTATTGAAGCACTTTTCAAGCTACAGAAAGAATCTTTAGTGGCACCTAGAAAAGAAAGATTTTTTTTCAGTCCAAAATTTTTGAAAACAAGTAGTCCAGTTCTTTGAACTCTGATTTTTCTTCTCACTTACATAGATAAAGGCTCCATGTCAGCAATTTTCCAACAGCGCCGCTGATTATTCCCAGAGCAGAACACAGTCCGTCCTGCTGGATCTTAAGCAGTTATCTACCACACTGCTGTTTCAGAGAATCATGTGCCAGGGAAACATTGATTTCTTTTCAGAACTGCTCTTGCTGAATCACAATTATTCACATTAAAATCTAAGAACTTATTTCTCTTCCATGTTTGATGTAAGCATGACCTGTGTGCACCTTCCACATACTTGTCATTTTTAACTATGGTGATGGCACAAATCCTGCTGTTCCCTAGGCCATTGTCTTGCTGCAATACAGGCATTTCTGTGAGGATCCCACACAGTGCTGCACAGCTAATGCTCGGTTAAATCCCTGCCTTCTGGGGCTTACTGTCAGCTGTAGCTAATGTGAAAGGCCTTGTGGATGCAAGAAGGAATCCCTTTAGCCCATGCAAAATTAAGAGTTGATTATTGCTGGTGTTGTGTTTAAAATCATGCCTTTTCACAGCAATTAGACTACTGAAATAGATGCAGCATAAAACCAAAACCTATCTGAGCCCAGGTTTCCTCAGCTGAACAAAGGCTGGTGTCTGGTCAACTCAAAACCTGCTGAGAAATCAGCTGAATCTTGCTGAGTCTGAGTTTGCCTTTTTGTCTTGTTTGTGCTCAAAACACAAGCGAAATGTCCCGCAAAGCCCTATAAAATAACCAGAACCTCTAGGATAAAGAAAAAAAACCACAGTGAAACAGTCAGTACATTTTGCATGACTTAGATAACAGCAGATTCAACATAGTTATCAATGTTGAAAATGGTGATTTTTGCAATTTCTGTATCAAGTTTTGATCAGTTTCTATTGATCAATAACAATTTTATTAACCCTTCAAAAATGTATTTTTATAATCATTATAGTAAATGCTTTCAATTGCAAAACTGGTAACAGTCAGATTTAAATTAAATTTCTGACCAACCAAAGCCTTTTAGCAGATACTTAACTTCAGGTGTGAATAGTACTCTTGGTTTAAAAGGACACATTACATTTATCTGGTATAAATCATATTTTTTTTACAGAATTGATTTCACATCAGTGTGATTTTTAACATAAAGTCATGTGAAACTCATGTGTTTTCAGCATTTTGCATAAGCCGTATCATGCTTGGTTTCCATGTAATCTTACCATATACCTCAGATATCAATCCTAATGAGACTACGACAATTTTGAGGTTTAAGTGTGTAGTTATGTACCTTAATGAATTGTGATCTCAGTTATAAAAATAGCTCAGACTTTATTTAGCACAACGGCTGTGCATGAGATAAGGGAAGAACAGTTCTTAATTCTCAAAATATGAAAATAGTAATTTAAGATATACCACACTTTCTGAGGTTAAAGAAGAACTGTTGTCAAAATATTTGACAATGTCTCTTAGTGTGATGTGACACCAACCCAAGGACAATAAGCAGCAGGTCATTCCAGCTCGTTTTCAGGACATTTACTACAGAGGCAACCAAATCACATCTGTTCTTTCCCAAGAGCACAAGCAAGAATATGACTTGCTCTTTGCAATAACTGATAACTGATCTTTATTACACAGCCTTGGTGTATTTTTTTATATAGACTTCTTTTGGCAGCAGTTTGTTTCTTCTAACTTCAAAAATCTGTCCTTCTACCTCCACTCATTTGGCAGAACTGCGGGGGAATAAAAGGAATCGTCTCCCATGTAATAAGCAGGTTCCTGGTTCTCTTTGCTTCAGGAGATGTACATATTCCTGAAAGTTGGAGAAATAACTGCTTTTGAATGCCCAGCTGCCACGGATTCGGTTATGGTAGTTTCAGAGCAAATTTGTGATGCACCCACATTTCTTGTCTGTGCCTTTTTTTGTTCTTGCTTTGCTTCAGGTGATTGTGATTGTTATGTCAGAACAGACTGACATGGCTAAACACGCTGGTAGCGCCCAAGGAGGCAACCCAAGTAACGTAACGGTAGCTAAAAAGAAAAGATCAACCAGCAAACAGGAAAAAGAAGAGAAAAAGAAAGGTAAGAAAGGTAAGAAAACTTTGACTTTTATGGACTGCTGCTCAAAAAAAAAAACCCCAAAACCTGTTAAATGTTATGCACGTAACACTCTGTGCAGATCATTACTTATTAGGTCCTAAATGATCAAGTTTTTGTTGTGCTTTTAATCTACAACAAATGTAAAGTACAAATTGCCTGTGTAAACCTCAGTGACAGAGATTTAAAACAACACTTTTAAATCAGCGTTTCAGTGGGTAACAAGTTCTCACCTTGGCTCAGTTGAATGATGACAATTTCAGAAGCCACAATAACACTCAAATTTCTGCATCCCGAGGGAGGAGCTCCTGACGCAGTACAAAGGCACAGGCTGAGGGCTCTTCCCAAGTGACACTCTTTCAGGCACAGAAGGGCTTTGCTAATTTGGGGACCATATTTGCCGAAGCATTAACCTATAGCTGTTCTGTGAGAAAAGTCTATCATTCTCTCTTATTTTAACCTCTGTGCTGAATGGCAAAGTTGAAATTATAGGTGAACATTTCTCATTCTCCAATTTAGAGAAAGAAAGAAAGTAAAAACTCTCTGGCAATTCGGCCTTCTTGTCTATTACAGAGTTTTACTGTTCTTTTAGATGCTTATTATCCAATAACTACTTGAATACTGATTTATTCTTGACAAGTACAATTCCCTCGGGTAGAGCATTTTAACTCCATATAAGGCTAAAATCCCAGCGTTTTCAGGATATGTTTTATGTATCTTTGTCCAACTCAGTATATTTTCTTTATAAACAGGATATGCAGGTGTTATGGCACTACTGACAGACCATATCATACTCCTATTCCCCCTGCCGCCTTCTCCTAAGGCAGTAAGAAATACCCAACTGTTTCTCTTTCTCTCCTGCCTTACTGCTGTGCGTAACTGGCCATTTCTGAGCAGTCCCGTAAATGTGGTGGCCTGTACAAGAAACAATTATTTATGTGAGGGAATGTTTGCTGTTAATCTCTTGAAATAGAGACCACAAATACCTGGGCTTTTTGCTCTATGAAAAAATGGTAACGTAATTTGTAATGCTGAATCTCTCTAAATGAAAAGATGAAATGAGCATAGGAAGGTCACAAACAGTGCCAAAGCAAAATCTTAGCCTACATACCTCTGTGTAAAACTGAACATAACAAATATATGAGAACTGTTATTACTTCTCCTAAAGCAGATCTTATTAAGCCACATGCAGAGGAAATTATTGCTACGGAAGAGACACCTGATCCAAACGAAATCCATATAGTGGAAACAAAACAGGATACAGAAAACAACCAGCAAGGAGACAAGGAGAGCAAAGGGAAGACGGCAGTGGCAGAGATCGTTCTCTAGCCCACGGGAAGCTTGGATGGGTAGGGGAAGAAACCCTGGAATAAGAGCCTTAAGTGAAGTTATGCTGCTCTTGAATTAAATATGTGATCTTGTTATGATCCAAATAATAAGCTCAAACCAGAATTTCATGGGTGGTAAACTAGCCATATTATTTTCACATCAAATGCTAGTGTTTTTTATAACATTTGTAATAGCGTCACAATTGCGTAGTAGCATTTCTATCTTGGATTAACAAATTAACTGTTTTACATTCATTTATATGTACCCCAGTAATTACCTCTACTGTACTGAGATGTAATTTTAGTTACTAATAAAA